ATTGTAGTGCTGTGACATAGGCCTGAACCGCTTGTTCCATGTCTCCAGCGGCCACAAGTGCGGCCGCCAGGTTGATGTAGCCATCGATGAAGTCCGGCTTCAATCTGACAGCATGCCTGTAGTTCTCCAAAGCCTCTTGAAGCTGACCCCTCTCTTTATACACGTTGCCCAGGTTGCTATAGGATAAGAGTTATTTAATTAACAAAATTACTCATTGTAAGTACGCAAGGGTCTGTGTAAAAGACCCTCGCGTTCTTTTTGCAAATTCACACAACCCTCCTTCATTTCCCCTACACCGTAAAAATATCGCCGCCAGAAAATACTACCTCTTTTTGCTCTTTTCCCTATCTGAATTAACTACGTTTTTCTTGAAATACGCACTAAACTATGTACCAATTTCTGCAAATGGCTGTCGAAGAAATAACATCGTAAGTAGCACACAATAAACATTATTTATCAAAATTTCCTAATGTCTATGATTCGTCGAGTGAATATCTTCACGATCTTTAACCGTTATAGAATTTATTCTTAGCCAATGTAATTGCAGGATAGACGGTTTACGAGGTTTTTAAAGTAGAACTAACAATTGTACACAATACGTAATTGTTAGATTTAACTGGCTCATTGCAAAGTGAAACACGCAAGTAGAATTAGGATTAGCTTAATAAAAACGGCTTCTGATTACGTCTTTCCATCGCCGCCGCCGATAAATTAAATAAACGTTAATCCTTTGTATACCTACTTCGCAATTTTATACAGATTTTTTAGTAACTAAGTTTGTAGCCATAGCAAAGGTGTGACATGTTAGATTGCGTGACCTTTCCGAATCGAATTATGTTAATTTGTTATAACAGTCTGAAAATGGGTTTTCACATGTTAACATACTCGGCATACCCTGATACCATTTACCATACACACACTATTGACTGGTATGTTCATGTTCCTATGTTCAATGTTCAACATTATTGTACAATAATGTCTTAATATATTATTTCTACAAAGAGCTATGACGTATATGTAACAATAAGTATAACACAATACAATAGACAAATGGTTATAAAGATGAACAAAAGAATAATTGCCTCTTTAATCATGTCACATATTTATAGTGTAACCAATAACTTCTAGTTCATCATTTGAGGAAGAAACATTCTTACAATTGATATCATACAATGATGTATCAAAATAAACAACATGTATTTCAAATGACTGCAATCCATTTCAACAACTTCAAAATGGCCCAATTTTTAATGGTTTGCCGTTGCCAAAATATTTTGTCAGTGACACATCAAATTATTTCAGACGGTACATGCTACAGAAATAGTTATTGCATAAATGACATACAAACTTATTAGTCAGATTTACTTTGTTGAAAACATATTATGGGGCCACACCATATCTATACTAATAATGTAAGTTTGTAGGTATGTAGGGGTAATCTTTGGAACCGCTGGTCGGATTTACAAAATTCTTTCACTGATAGATAGCTACAATGTTCCTGAATGCTATAAGTACATCTCGCTACGATTAAAAGGAGCCGAGCAGCGGGTGAAACCGCGCGAGAGAAGCTAGTATTGTAATAAAACGGTTAACAGGTTTTCCTACCTAACCAATTAGTAAAAATCAACTGCCTATCTTATTAATTAGTCATTTGTCATAACATGTTTAGCTTTGCATTGTGAATGCAAACCAAGGCCTGGATTTATACTAAACCTTTTGTTCAGAACAAGATAATGCCGTAGCCTTGTTGTGCTTTCAAGCTTAAGTTGATTGTTCATAAAGGTATAACACATACCAAGGTGAAGAGCATGACACAATGAGAATAAAGCTATGTTTATTTAGTTATTCATTTAGCAAATATGCTTGTCTGACTACACCCATTTTGTTGTTAGACCCTGGGCATAAACAGTTATGAAGTAGGACATGTCATGTGAACATTGTTGGAAATATTTTGAGATATTAATTATTTTTGTTCCCCAGAGAGAAGTAGAGCTGGGAATATTCTATGAAACAGCTACTACAGAGGTACCTAATATACCAATTTGCTTGCATTTGGTTCCAATAACGTATTCTTTTACCAAAGATTTTACTAAGATTACATTACATTACATTTTGCAAGAAACTTATATCAAACAACAGTCAAATTACAAAACTCAAACAATTCATACCTGTATGCTTCAGCTAGAAGGGGATTCTGTTTGATAGCCAAGGTGGAGAAGTGAGCAGACTTATCCAATCTTCTACACTGGAAATGGATGGAGGACAAGAGTAGGAGGACACCAGTATTTGTACCATCTTGTCTCCATAACTGCATGCAGTGTAGTTCCGCACTCTCATAGTCACCCGCTTGATATTCTCGGTGGGCAAGCTCCAACAGTCCTAATGAAAAATTAAACAAATTATGCTTTACTTAAATAATGGTGCATTTTATAAGCAGCTGAATAGTAGTCCAGAAAACTTAGCATCATTATAAATTTTAATATAAGTTCACCATGAGACACTAGCAGTAGAGTCGGCAACTATACAGCGGGACTAAAGTTCCCCTTATTCAAAAAAGAATATCTTTTCAGGATGTGTATGTATGATAACTATTTCAATAGCAGTCATAAACAAGAGGAAAGTTCAAAGGTCAGAAAAATCGAGCAAATCTTTGCTTAAATCAATACATATAGGTATTAGTCCTGTCAAAAAAAAATATCTATCAATATGAGAGAAAACAGTATTAAAATTTCATTTTTAATTCACACACATTACCAAAATGATCTAGAGGAAGTTGTTCTTCAGAAGTGATTTTTATTGTAACTTCTAGAAACACATTATGTAAATTATGGTATTAAAAATAGGTTTAGGATAAAAACAAAATTAATGAATGGAAATGTTTAATTCATTCATGGTTAAATATTATTTTTAGTGTAAAAAATAATAAACTACAAGGCCACGGTATTGTTCCACTACACTACGCCTGCTGACGCTATTGTAAAAAAAAAGTAAAAAAGACACACAGCTGCCTAACCTATACATAATAAAAAAATACGTAAATAGAATCCTCAATGACAGAAAACAGATATTGTATTAAACAAAACAGCATTTTATATTCAAATCAAGATCAAAATCGACGAATCTGAATTATAAATATCTTACTGAGACAAAGCTTCCTGAAGGCTTATTGAAATTCTTAGGAAAATTCCCAGGTTTACGGAAAGTTTCAGTTTTCTTTTATGATTCCACGTTCACACTAAAATCTCAATTGAATACGTACCCACTGTAGAGATCTGCTGAATATCTGACATTTTCAATATCACCGCATTTGCTGGAACTCCAACACCAACAATTTGCTGAGACTGTGGTTGCGTCGTGACAGATTGTGGCACGGCGACGTTTGCTTGTGATTGCATTTTGGTTATCATCGTTCACATCAATCAAACACAATTATAGCACAACACACAATCACAGATTCCCATTAAAACAATCGTCTTTTCTTTATTTCCAGAGTTTTGCCATGAAGATCAAATGAGTAGTTTACAGCAACGCTTTTCGCAATCCGCAATCCGCACACGAACACGACGCGACGGCTAGCGGAAACAACTCAATTTTTTAACAATGTATCCTAATATTTTTAATAGACGTTACATTGACTATAATTTTCGACGCGCCATTATGATCCTTATGTACAGGTGACACTGAGTATAATAGCTTGATTGATTGTGACGAGTACACACAACAACGCCTGTACATTTTTGTCTATGGTTGTTAAATAATTTTATTTAAAAACCTAAACAGTTATAAATAACAAGTGAAAATTATGTCGCGTTTTTATGAAAAATTAACATAACTTATCATGAACATTTTGTTTCGTCTTATTTGGTTTAAATTTAATTAAAATGTTAACATTTGTATGTGTATTTCCGGTTCCATTTGGCGGTTAATTCAAATGTATGGAAATGTCTGTAACGGGCTAATCTGTTCAGACGATAAAAAATTCTTTCTTTTGGCCTCAAAATGACCTTTATAAAGGTAGGGCTCGTTGCTTATATTAATGTCCGACAGCAAATTGCTGAGAAATATAATCCTCACCTAATCTTGTACCTTCTCAGGAAATCGAGGAACGTAGACAACAGATAGCGGCGCTAAGAAAATGAACAAACGATTTAAATTTTAACAAGAGAAAAAGTACCTTTGTATATTGATTAGTGAAGTAAAACATTACTGAAAACTTAGTAAACAGGCTCTTCTGTTTTATAAAGTTCTTTAGAATAGTCGAAGCCAGGTTACTATGTAAGTAGTTGTTGTTGTTCTTGTATGTCCAGGGTAATGCTTACAGTCCAGTTCCAGACGCCAAATGCTAGAGAGCGCCTAAATACTTTAAAATTAAAAGCATTGCTATCCGATGGCCAGGGGTTTTTTGTGAGGGGAAAATCATCAAATGACTTCTCCCGCTCAGGGCCGGGTGGGAGGGAGTGTCAGCCCCTTACTGACTAAAAACCCCCCTGTTCCTTCTCCTGCTCTGGGCCGAGATCGCGGTGCCTCATTGAGCGTACCCCGCAACTCCGGCGATGTCCAGGAGTACTTATAATTTAAGAAGTTCCTTGGGAATACTCTATAACTTCTAAAATCCTAGTTGACCGTAGTCGGTGTAACGCCTGGTTTTCGACTGGTCACTCCACAGAATGGTCCGCGTCCCATGTTTAGTTTGTACTCACAATAATAACATGGTGTGTCTATTATTGATAAAGGTTCATATATTTTATGCCTATATAGGTATTTTATATATTATATACCTTTATTATTATACATATACACCTATATTATAATAGGAGCATGCGAGACGCCATGATTGGATATGGCGCATAAATTTTAGAATACTAAAATTTCGGACAGGCGGGCGACGCTGCTAATGTCCCATTATTTTCAACTTTATATATGTTGTTTCATAAAGAATCCAACGTTTCTTTGTAAGAGATAAGGGTTTAATAATTTTCAAGTGAAATAAAACCAATAACTTCATGGTAGTGTAAAAATGTTTATTATCTAATTTAAAAACATTGCAACAATGTGGAATGTAAGAGAACGCGCAAAATCAAAATAAAATGGTAAAATTATAAAGGTGTGCTATAAAAACGTGCTTTAATTATAAATAGAATGCTATTATAGTAAAATGTGATGTTATACCAAAAGTTTTAAACTAAGAAGGTGGAAGCATTGGTGACTAGAACTAAAAATAAGAATTTAGAAGAACACAAATGCACTGAGCCAGCTACACACTACTTATATTGCAAGTACAACCAACTTAATACTGATTAAAATAGCGTCATTTCACAACACATTGAGATCTCATCTCGACTGATATCAATTTTGAGTTGTTCTAAACGTAAAATAATATTTGATTTTTAAAAATAAAACTTGTACATTTTAAAATATAGTTATTATTAATTGTGATTTTCCTTTCGAGTTTTGATAGATACACTACGTGGATACACTATGCAAAATAAATGCTTAGATTTAATTTTAATGTTTCATTAATATTTTTAAACTTAACATGCTGATTTCAGTCTAACTGTATGAATGTATATTTACATCCTCAGATTCAAACTATATTCTGATGTGATGTGGCAAGTTTTACTTGCGAACGTTTCTTTATGACTCATACAAACTGAGAAAGTTGTAATCCAAATCAGCCAAAAAGTATATAACAAAACAACTTTTTAGAGCTGCAAAAATAATTTAAATTTTATAGTGAGTAGCCGGTTTTACATAAATGCAAGAAAGGAACTAATAAGCCGCCGTTAATACGCCTATATCTATCGAACAACTGGTTCGCTTACTGAACTAAATTCATTGTACTTGAGTACTTGACACATTTAACATTATTCACTGTTTTTTTTTTGTTTGCTTATTGCTGCGACGCGATATGGTCGTCGTTATCTTAGCTATCGATTCCAAATGTGAATCGATTATATCTAAGGGATTTTTACCAACAATTACAGTTATTATTATCAACAAACTTTTTTAATAGTTATTACATTACTAGTATTGTTTACGTAACGTTTCCTTATGCACAAAATGGAATATCAAAAAATTGCAACCTTTCGATATTTATGTATCGATTTTAAAATAGAGATTCTATTCTATATTAAAATGGGGTTTTCTTTCACACATGTTTAAATATACTCAAAACGCGACGGGTATCGCTCTTTACAAATTATCACACTATTAAATAATTTTAACACTAAACTGCATTCATTGCCAACAGCACATTCTCATAATTTAGAAAAACACGCTCATAATAATTTAACGAGAACACATTTCTAGTCTGATTGATTCACATTTTCCATTAAAAATAATTGTTAACAATCGTTTTCACATTTTCCAAATGTTAAACACATTTTTTTCTAAGCTCTGAGGTTATTATCGATTAAGTATACAATGTAAGTACACTTATGCTATACTTATACATCTAGCTAAATGGCTCATTTATTGTGCTTACACAAAATAAAGGATTAACAATGTTTTAAAAAAATAGTGAAGTAACTGAGATTCCTCTTCATTATGACTACTTATTATGTTAGCGTCGATTAAGTACTAACAATTATTACGTTTTCTATACCTTACAACTAATTACGAATTATTAACAATATACGACGTATAGTCGAAAAAATATATAATAAAAATAAAACTGAATCGGGTCCATTACGCATTGGTTATTCAGATAGGTAATAAGTAACGGATATTACAGTCTGTACTATTTTACAACCTTTCTATGGATTACACTAAAATCTTTAAGAACTTGCTACAGACGTCGGTATATGTAAGTACTAAGTATTATTGAAACGTTCCTCTATACATTACGATCGCTTAAAAATACATTGTAACGGGTTCAGGCGAAAAAATATAAAACATTCGCAATGCCTGATATAAGGCGGATTAAGGGTTTAAAATTCATATGACGGAGGCGCGGCTGTGAGAGTCGTGTGAAGAACTGACGGCCGACATTGCCACAGTACTGGACATTGGCTCGGCGCCACGAACCAATTGTTCGTGACTACTAGTTAAGGCACCTCCATACTTGAAGCTTCTCCGCAAACTAGAACGGATGCTCTTCGCTGAATCGCTTTTACGAACAAATGACCTTCGAAGATAGTCTCTTGTAAGGGATAGAGAAGTTCTAGATGTTGATGATCTTGGTCGAGTGACTCTAGAGTCGGTTTCATCTGTGATGGTTATAGAGGGTGTTGTAAATACTCCGCTGTAATCTGGAGGCTGGGTCTCTAGGGAGACGAGAGCATCACGTTCTACAGTTTCGCTGAGTGTGATTGGTAGCTGCGTAGTGTCTTCTGCGGGCGATTGTTCCGTGCGTGCTGTTGTGATTCTGTAAAATAAGTTAAGAACTCTTAATTCTGTTGTTGTAAAATTGAATGTTAACATAAAGGAAGGCAATTTGGGAAGAGATATAATTGCTTGAGTTTTTTGTTTAACAACGATATAAATAGTAGTCTAATTTTGTTTATGACCACGTATGCCATACATCGGAATAATGCAAACAGTTTCAGAGACTATAACAATAAATTTGTTTTAAATCGAATATCAAACTGTACCCTATCCGACTCAGAAATCGGCAGTAATCGAAAACTACTCTCAAGGCGTAGAAATGAATCAAAAAAGTGTTGGTAAGCGCATAATTCAAAAACGTCTGGACCAATTTCACGAATTTTTATTTTGTTGTGTTTGATATTGTCAGAAGAAAGTTCTTATGAAATAAAAAATTTGAAAAGTAGAGGGGACGCTAAGTTACGCCAGCTTTCGTTGTTATTGAGGTAGTTGGACAACCGTGCGAAGCAGAGATACTAGTATCATAATAAAATCTATTAAAGTTTCTTTTGCAAGTATATAACTAGGTACCTTTGTAGAATTATTTATTTATTTATTTATTTATTTAGCCGCTAGTATCTTAATAGAAAGATAATTCTTACCTTCTTAGAGTTCTAAAGCTGCGCCGTATAGTATTCAACAGTCGTGCTCCCGTAGCAGTAGAGTATGAAGGCGGTGGTGTGTACTTAGGGGGCGGGTCCGGCGGCGCAGGCGCAGATGCAGTTGCTAAAGGAATTGCGCGCCCCAAACCAGGTTCTTGTGACACTCCCATACGTGGACGATATAAGTTTTGGATACGCTGGAAAAATAAAAACCAAACATTTTAACAGGTGCAAAAATATCTTAATTTTTAATAAAGAAGGAGAGAAAATAATACACTAAATACCCTTTGTAAATCGACAGATGAACTTGACATTTTAAATTACGGATGTAATTTAAACAATGGAAAATTCGAATGTCAATATAGCTATCAATAAATCCTTGATAAAACGGTAAACTAAATCATTCACAAGGCACTGTTTTAATGGTAGTTACTGTTCTTTATACGAGATTTGACATAAAAACGAACATTTATTACTTAAACATATTAAAAAATCATTTTTCCTCTACTACATATACACCACTTAATTTAAACAATATGACCTTCATCTACAATTATTAAAACAACTGCAGAGAATATCCAATGGATCTTATTTACACAGTAATTATCAAATACTAACGTTATCAGCTACTGTATAACTGAAACTAAATCAAACAATATATTTGGCGACCTTGTATGAGTTCGCATATCGTAATACAGTGTCATATAATTATATGAAATGTTATAACTGAATGACAGAATAATGACACGAATTTATTATAATTAATTTGGTTGACTAGACAACGAAATTAGAAAGTTTAATTTGTTTCTTGAATAATTCAAGTTCGCTCGCCTGTTTCCGGGCTCAACTGTCCTGATTCTCATGTTTATTCTTATAATTTATAAAAAACTCAACGGTACTTCGTATTAACTAAGGGCTGATTTTTCAATGGTTAGATAAAAGTTAGCTTGGGAATAATTATGCTGCTGTCGCGTCAGAATGTTTCTATAAGACAGTGACAGCAACATTTTTATACCACAGATAACATTTATCTCACTATTTAAAAATCAGCCCTATGCCTTGTTAATGTGTTTATCCGAGGATAAAGAACTAAACACTTTAGTCAGCATATGTATGGCATCTGTAGCCATTGCCATGTTGGAACTGCAATGTATGGAATTACGTATGGTGCCTTTAGGTCCCAATCATAATAAAAAATACTTTTTTTACATTGAAACAACATCTAGTCATAACTCTAGGCCTATCTGTGTATCCTAAACAATAGGCTTCATGCTCTATGCATCCAGAGTTTTTACAAAATAGTATTATGTTCTCGTATCAACTAAATACACATACAGAAGCAAAAAAATAATACAATTTTGGTCACTGAAGGTTATCAAACCTATACATAATTTTGATAACAAACAGTGATACAAGAATCACGACAGAGAGAGACTTATAAAAAAAATGGAAACGTGACTTGACGTGACGTGACGTCATAGAATCGTATGATAGTTGCAAATAAATAGACTAACCAATAAGAAACTGAGTACCGTAGGTATTTAAAACCTTTTAACAGCGACTAGATAAAATGATTAAAATCTTTTTTTATAAACAATTTTATCAAAACTCATAATATTATATGTAAGTAACTATTTGATGGAATATCAGATACAAAAACTTATAGTTAAGATATGATTGCAATGAAAGATTTGCAATACATAGTGTTTATTAAGTATATAGGCTTGTAATTTACTGTGATCGACAGGGTCCATAATGATCTAAATCCCTATCGAAGTCAAAATCATTCATTCCAACTAAACCATAAAAGTACCTTTACTATTGTAAAGTCAAAATAGAATAGTAGTCTGTCAATCTGTTCGTCAGTGAATGGAGAAGAACGGGCAAGAAACTCCATGCTATGTAAACATAATAAATACTTAATGTAGCATTATGGAATGCTATTCAAGTTTGATTTTACTTATCCTACAGTACACAGTGGGTTATGTGTCTCAAGCCGCTACTACCCTACTAGATGACAACCCTAAACACTTTTAAACACTACCTAAGTGTGGTACTAGGAACAAAGAAATCACTTTTATTATACTGTATTAACAAAAATTACAAAGCAGAGCATCGCTTACCAACAAAATCATAATTTTCATATGTGTTCCTAATTTTCTAACTACATAATATAATGGAAGTTAAGGATAAATCAGTCTTACCAATTCCTCAATACAATCGTTTGCCCGATAATCCTTGTAGCGTTAACAGAGAAAACAATTTTATATTATGTACCTAATAAATACTGACACTATCTATGAACGTTTAACACCTTGTTTACACTAAGAATGAATACTATAAATAAACGATACGCTAATTGTCGAGAATTAGCATCTAATTATGATATACAACGCGTGTTTTCTTCATGCTTTTGCTTTGTATTGGTAACCAAAAAGAATTTCATAATAGGTACATTGCAATGCATTGAAATATAATGACGCAATCGACATTTCTAAATGATGTTTTAAAGATCGAAAGGAATGACAAAACGGGGTGTAAGGAATCACCCTTTCAAGATTTGCAGTAAATTTTCAAACAGTCTGTATATGGAACCGATATAAATATAAAAAAAATACTTTATGATTTGCTCTGACCTGCTTACAGTTCCTTTAAAACTTTAATACGAATACTAACAGTGTATTCCAAAATTTTATAACGCTTTTTACTTGTATCTCCTATACATATACATAATGATTTATTTTAAGCATGCTTGTTAAGGTGCACTTGTATAAGATGGTAAATAACTTACATCTAGTATATCAGGTGGTCCTTTGTTCATGTAACGCCAGGTTTGTATGAAAGCAGCAATAGGCACCAGTAATAAAGCTCCTTGTTGTAGAAACACTGCCACTTGACGACACCATACTGGCCAATAACTGAAAGAAGATTAAATATTCGTTACTGCATTTTTTTTATATTAAGGTGGACTCATAAATACTCTTTCGTGCTGCTTATAACGGCACAGCTTGCTTTCTTTCTCAACCCTCTTATATTAGCGCCAATACATAACAAAACCCTTTTTAATCATTACCTTAATTTTCATTCCACAGACAATTTACTCGTATTTATTAAGTTGATCTCTTTCTTTCCATCGATCGCCATATAAACAAAATTCACCTAATACTTATTTTATAATTTTTTGATTCCAGCACTATAGAAGGCAACCACATTCGGTAGCTAGGTCATCTTTATTATCAAGAGGTGATACCGAACTAGGGATAAGTTAAGAAAGAGACATTTAAGGCCGGTATCACGCATATAATTCCTCTAGTGCAGGTGTTTATAGGCGCTGATCACTTACTATCAGGTGATTCGTCTCATTTGCCTTCTAATTCCATAAACAAAAGCAAATCAAGAAAATATGTGAACATACCCAGCTGGTTTCCTCCAACTGTACATTTGTTTCTGCTGTCCCACTCGGAAATCCATCACACAAATTGCCTGAAACAACAAGAAAATGTTTTATAAATAAAACATTTTAATTTATGAATTACTTTAACATTTTCGAAATAACCTAATTTATTGAAGACAGCGTCTATTTTCAAATCAAATGTCTTTAATGCATCTAAAGTGTACAGAGTTGTGTACAATTTTAACAGTTTGTGCTTCAAGTACATCTAGTCCTTTCTAGGGGGTATTTCAATTTAAAAATTCTTAGAAAAGTAAGATTGCTCTAAATATATAAAAGTATAATTTAAGATGCATCACTATAAGGATCGTTTAACGTTTATAATATCAATTAATTGTAATAATAGAGGTACTTACACATAACAACACAGGTAGTACGACAGTCCAAGTAAAGCTGAGTAGGGCAGCCAATGTAGCAGAAAGTCTACTTCGAGAAGAGTATAACGCGGCCACGACCACATCGGGTGAGTAAGGTCGCCCTCGTACCACGAACACGCCACACGCCAAAGACACTTGCACTATGCATTGCCACCACGAACCAACCCATACGTAGTCTATGAAGTGGACTATACGGATGCCAGCCTGTAAACAATATTAAAGTTTTATAATATTAGACTCTTCTCGTTTAAAAAAAGTAAAGGTAACAATCATGTAACGTTGACTCATTTATTTATTTATGTTAATACGGATTAGACCCAATTACATTAACAACTAAAAATAAGAAAAAAATTACAACATGCATAAGTTCGTCTCGTAGTAAGTACCTCATACATTCCAAAAACAAATTATATACGTCATCTGCAAACATGCGAGACTAGAGTGCGAGGAATTGGTGACTTAGCACGCGCGACAGTAGGTACTTTTTTTATAATAATGTTTTTTTTTTAAATACTGTGTCCCTGACTTGGAGCCTGAGAAGGAACGGGGTGGGTTTTAGTCAGTAAGAGTCTGTCACTTCCCCTTACCCCACCCAGCTCGAGAAAAGATATTTGAATTATTTACCCCTTCAAAAAAGGGGTAAGCCAGTTTCTATTATTATTTTATATATTGGTATTATCTTATTATTCCAATACTGAAGTTTTTGTCCTAAATAATATGAAGTAAATTCCATAGTTAAAGTTAATAAAAGTTATCAATAAAAGAACCTAGTTTATCTCTATAATATCAGTCACACTGAATTCAATATCAGTACTTGAATCCAGATCAGCAATGCCATTCCGAAATAATATGCTATGCAAGTTAAATGAAGTTGACTAAGTATAGAATGCCAAAAGCATTAACTCCGCCTGTGTAGTTTCTATGAAGGTTTTAATAAATGAGTACAACATGCATTAGCAAAAACCTGTATTAATTTAAAATAATCTAACGAGAGCACTAGAAACAGCGTAACTATACATATGTTTGTAGTAACCTACTAGGTACCCGTTTAGTAAGAACTTCTAGTTCTTGGTCTTGTATAAATCAAATATAATTAGTAGCCCGATTAATAAATTCACGTCGTTATTGCACGTCTAAGTAAATACATCAATTATTTTTTGTTATTTATTTTATTTATTTAAACTTTTTGCAATAATTTCGTCAAGGTGGCCAGGCTTCATGCTATGGATATTTTTGCTTTTTTATATCTGTGCAATTTTATTTTTTTCTTTTACCTCAGATCTTAGAAGCTTAGTAGATGTGGTGGTAGAAAGAGAACACGTTAGTCATTTCTTCTACTCTTCCAGCGGTTGCAAAACCAGTCACATACAGAGACAATATGTATATCTAATAGAGACTTTTCGCTGATAAACCTTAAACTACGATCTCCAGCCCGTCTTTTTAGTGGAAAAATATTAAATGGCTTCTTCCGCCTTGGGTAGGACGAAGCATAAGAGAGAGTTTCAGACGCCTACTAACAAAAAACACCTCTTTCCTTTCTAACGGTACATTATTGTGCTTCCACCCTCAATCCTAGCTTCTCCAACCCAAGCGAATCCACGATACCGGCTTGCTATCTTTGAGGAATTCACTAGTGGACTTATATAAGCTGTTAATATTGTTCAATTTTAATTTGTAATGCATTTCTCCTTGGCCTTTGAAACTGAAGGCAAAGAATCGATATGGGAACAACGACACATGGAAAGCAAGTTTCTTTTAGTATCTGGAGCGAGCAAAATGTGTGTTCGGTAAAAGGGGGTGAATAGACGCAGCACAGGGGTAAACAGAAACTAGGATAATTCGCCAACATTTATTCACCCCTTTTGAGTATCTTTTAACCCTAGTCCAGTCATCTTAGTACTTTCACCTCGGAATTTCAGACACCAAGCTGTATACTTGTATAAAGTTTTGTTTGAACTTAAAAAAACTTGCCTCAAAACCAACACATAGGTACTGTAAACTTTATATTATTGGTAATAAATACAAATAGCGTCATCTCCATAGGAAATGAGATATTTGCAGAAAATGTAAAAATAAACGATTATTGTGACCTTACGTATTCATTTATGAGAGACGCGGACATCTTACAGGATGTACGTTTTGAGGAAAGTTTAAGGACGTCAAAGCAAAAATTTATACAAAAATACAGCTTGATATCTCAAATTCCGAGATTCTTACCCTATTTTAACTAAGTTGACTGGACTACTCCATTTTACTGTACATAATACAATTGATGGGTTTAAGGGATTTTTACGTTTGGTTTGCATAAAAATGCTTCGCATATCACAACAGAAAATCTTGATAAAACATTCGTCCTTTCACACCTACACAGAAACGCATCATCAGTTAGGTGTGAATTGACCATCAAATCCTAGTCGCTAAAAGACTACTATTTATTTTATTAATACTGTTGTAGTACTCCACAATTTCCAATATTTATAAGTATTTACATAAATATTAAAGTCAGTAAGTAGAATACACGTTTCTCTTTTCTTTTGAAACCAAAATTACACAAAACAAAGCACCCAATAACTTCAGTTGCGCCATTATATGCACGGTTGATTCAGTCAAATACACTTAATTGTTTCGCATACAAATATGTACAACGACGCAGACTTTACTACAATCGATAACGACGATAATGAGATAATCACATTCTATGTTAACTTGCACTTGGGTACACATTAAAATATGCGTCTTAATTAGTATCTTTGTTATAACTATATATGTATAAAACAAATCTCGCGCGGTTTCATCGCTTCTTGGCTTTCATTGGATCGTTGCTTGGCTCCTACAGATCATAGCATGATGTTTTGTAGTCTATACCACTCAGAAACATTGTAGAAATCAATCAAAGTAAGAATTGTGGAAATCTGACCTGCAGTTCCAAAGGTTACACCCTACATACAAACTTACAAATTTTACGTTTTTATAATATAAGTAAAGGGCTGATTTTTCAATAGTCAGATAAATGTTATCTGAGGAATAAAATTGTTGCTGTCACTTTCTTATACAAATATTCTGACGCGACAACATCAAAATTATTCCCCAGGTAACTTTTATTTAACCGTTGAAAAATAAGCCTTAAGTATATTGGTATAGGCAAATGTAATTTTTCAACAATTTATGCTCACTTGTTACTTTGCTTATGCACATATTATTAAGTATTGGTGAAAGCGTAATCAACCATGTTACAATGTATATGCAACGCCCTTTGTATTCCGTATAAACAAAAAAAAACAATTTCGCCAAACAAAAAGTTTCATTAACACAGAAGAGTGTGCCAACTTGTTAAGACTCGATAACGTTTCTTTTACGGCAAGGGAAAACTGGCAATGTTCCAAACTTTAAAACCGTTAGATGCAGATGTTATATAAATGAGGAACTACATTGAAGGTATTTCATTTCTGAGCCGGGCAAAGTATTTATTTTATTTTAGATTCTTGAAAAGATTTAGTAGTATGCGTCTGGAAGCCTGCAATAATAATTGTCGCCGGACTGTTTTCGACCTATTGGAACTCAAAACATATTTGGGTTCACAATTCACAATATGAATTGTTGCACTTATATTTTTTTATAGACTAGACTACGGTGACAAACGAGCTTGTTTATTTTATTTTAATTTAATAGGAAAACAAACAGTTTTACTGCAATCACTTAGATTACAAATATAAAAGCTAGAAACCAATTAAATGATTTCACATATGAATACTAAATTTATTTGTTCAAAAAATTATTTACCACCACACACACCGAGTAGCACCTAAGGAATGCTTTGCCGACCTTTTGGAGTGAAAGACTTAAGATGAACGGCCATTTGATTAAGACTCCTAAGTCCTAACCTTACCTACACGGATAAACTCAATGCAAGCGCTATTTTACGGCAGAAAAAGGTGTAATACTTATTATTAAGTATATATTTAAACAGATACTCACATCAGTACTTAGCAGCAATCCCATAGCCAGTCCAAAGACGCAGCTTAGAAACGTGATAGTAGTCTCCCATACTTTCAGAGCTTCTGCATTGATCGCCATGATGCCGGTGATGACGCAGTGCCATATCGCCAGTTGTTGCGCGATGCCAAACATTATAATGATGAAGTAGAATATCACGGCCCATGCTGGAGATAGCTGGAAAGTAATTGGTAACTGTTATATTAAGGGCCTATTCCATATGTGGATAGCCACGATGTACCAGTAAAACTTAAATATAGAACGTCATTTGTATGAACTCATTTGTTTTGTGAGAGGAAAATCATCAAATGCTTTCTCCCGCTCAAGGAGAGAGTCTCAGACTGTTACTGACTTAAAACCCCTCCGTTCCTCCTAGGCCGAGGCCGCGGTGTCTTACTGCGCAACCCTGGTAATTTGTATGAACTGTGTGCCACATAAGTTTATCGGTAACTCATTTACAATTTCATTTCACTAAGTATCCAGCGAAATAGCGGAAAAAATGAAATCAGAAATTTAAAAAAAAATCTCTATGAATCAGGTAAGACATTTATGTACACAATAATTGTAAATAACAGTGTTAACAACGTCTGTTACCCTAATTAAAATCGTAATTACTGTGGATATAACAGAGGGTACACATACAATATGTATTTTTAAGTGTGGGACAGCCATGTTCCGACACGAATGGCTGTGTAATTAAAAAAACTATGTAATTAAAAAAATCGATGCCACTTTTCGTTATAATTTTATAAGTCAAGAACGGGCTTGCTTGTCCAAATCTAATTTTTTGGCTTTGTTTGGGAATTTTCTCCAAAATCTATCGAGGAGTTCTTCATTTATTATGTAGCGAAGCTCGAACCGAGCCGCTAGTTAGTAGGTAATAAATAATTACCCAATTTACGCATATAAACTGTAATGAAAATAAGACAAAAACCTTTTGTACTGGTGAACAATTAAAACTTTTCAAACATAACAAGTGCTGCAATTTCTCAGATACATCATCAGGCTCGCATTTAGAATAAACAGTTGATCGTAGACTCTGTATAACATAACGGAAATGATATTTAAGAAATACAAAAAAGAATAGTACTGTGATGGTCTTATCAAAAGTTGCAATCTTCCAGGGAACTTATTTTTTAGTTTTAATTAGGTTTTACGCAATAGACTATAAGGCTATTATTAAGTTGTAGATCTATTAATTTTGTTTTAACTGTAAAAGGTGTATCTTAAATTAGAATTAAGTTTTTCGCTGTTTCCCAAAAACAGAACCCGCATTAACAATAGTACAGCAAATTTTGTATTGATGTCATGGCTTATTAATTAATTAATTTAATTTCTAATACAGATAGATGGGGGTATCAATTACGTATGTTTAACAACCCACAGAAAGCGGGAAATACGATAGAACTTTGCAGAAATACCGACCTAAGAATACTAGGTCACATACAACAAAAATACTATACGTATTTAATCCATACTTGACACTTTTAATCCCAAAAATTACAGAAATCCAAAACTAGAGAACGAGGCTAGGGCAACAAATAGGCTCAGTTTAGTGCAGTCATTAAACAAATTCTAGGCCAAAGCAAATCAAGGTCGTAATCCATATTTCAAAGGCTTGGCAATAAAAAGATAGACATTCGAATTACATCGCGGACTGCACGAATAGAGTATCATAAAAGTAACATAACAACATCGCGACTTTTATCCCAACGGATTAGACAGAAGGATAGATATTGCATGTGACTTTTCCCGACTAATATTCACTTTCTATGATTATTTAGACACCACGACATACTGTGCAGGAATACCTCGTCAGGAAACCTGGACTTATAATTTCTAATTATAAGTTTCAAATCGCCAATCTACCTTGAGCAAGCGTGGTGATTAATGCTTAAACCTTCTCCGTGTGCCTTTGCTCAGTACTGGGCACTTGTAGGGTGGTGAAGTGATGATTGATGATGCGTGCACTAATGTAGAGCTCTCAATTACCAATGAGACCTTTCCCGCGTTTTTAATTCTTTCTTAGATTATTTAGACACCACTACCGTACGTTGAAGAAATATTTGATAAAATCTAGAATTATAATTCTAATCCAATTACAATTCGAAATCTTTAATCCATTTGCCTTGAGAAAGCTTGTACTCCTTCTCTGTTTGGGAGGAGGCATTTCGGTAAGTTTATAGGCTGATGATCATGTTACGAGACGAATCCCATATAACATAGGGAAAGTAAAGCTTATTGTTATTCACACGACGACCATCATAGATTTCGTATTAGGATTTAAAAAAAAAACATTTAAAATTTCTGCCCAAGAATCAGATCCAAGATCTCCGTCTTGCCTATTTGCAGCCACTCGATCATGCCTCGTGATTAAATACTATAAATATTAACGAAACGTACTTTATGTAGTACGGCATACGATCTAACTGATTATTCTCATGATCGCTGCCGCCTATGGACACCCCCAATACCAGAGGTACTGCAAGAGCGTTGCTTGCAATTTGGGGATTTAAAAATTGGGAAGTGATGGGGGAGGGGAAGGAATGGGCCTCCGGTAACCTCACTCGCATGTTGAAACAATGCTGTGGTGGGTGACCGGTTTTCTGTGAGTCCGTGGTATAACTCCGGTCGAGCCGGCCCATTCGTGCCGAAGCATGGCTCTCCCACACTTGTGTGTTACGTGTTATTAGTTAATACAAGTAGACACGCAAGTTCGAAGAATCAATATAAGCTATGAAGTAATGTATTCTTGTGTAATTTTGCTCATTGAGAAATTATTGTTACACGTTTTATTACAATGCATATCATATCAATTGTTTGTAACTTTTACGTAGATATTACGTTATTTTTTCGGGCTTTGTTTTTAAGTTTAGCTAATATTGTTGGAAAAGAAAGAAGGTATTGTTTTGGACGTAGTGTTTCTGTTTAAACGAAATTGACCTACATATGAAGACTAACTTGTAGTTGGCGAAGTGGCTAGGCTAGATTCAAACAACTCTTGTGATCCACTAATTGTTGGGCTGGTTTTGATGTGTTTGCAGAGTTTTATGTTTTAAACTAAGGCACAGTAAAAAGTCCTAGTGTAAGGCACCGTTTTATTAAATAAACAGATTAAGTGCAAAAGTTAAAACTAAAAATCTAGTTCTTAGATCAGTAAATTTATTAAAACAATACTTATAATTTGTGTAAACTTACCAAATTAGCAGGTAGCACAGCGAGAGTGGCCGGCACGATCTGTGTTGCTAGCTGTAAGGGTTGCCACCCGCTGAGAACGCGAGCAATGTTGCCAGTCTTCCATACTGTAACTCCCACTAGGCTTCCGTAGTGGCCCATGTAACGAACTGGTGTGGACACCACGTTACCCGGCATGGGCTCAGAGATGGGCCATAAGAATTGTGTTGTTTTTACCGTCTCTGTAACAAGCATACTTTGTTACCGTAACGTCGAGAAGAAATTGCCGTCCACATCCATCTTTAAGGTCATATTAAAACTTAACCAGCACATTTTGACAATTGTGTTATGACTCTTTGTGAAAAGAGAAAGCTGGTTGTGAGACACCACCATATTTTTCACACTATAAAAGGGTGTAAGCGCAATACTTAGTGTACCGCAGCCCCGGCTCAGAGATAGAAAAGTTAGTAAGACTTGGACACTTCTTCTCGCCCGACCCGCACCCTACCCAATTAGGGACAAGGCATACGGAAAAGTTTTAACTATAAATTGGAAATGAATGGATATAGAGATAAAGCCGTATCCTTTTATTTTAGAGAAACTAGATTTTAACACTGGTTCACATCGCGTCATGCGTGTTATGAGAAAAAAAGATATACACAGAAATACAGCAAAGGGAAAACTGAAGAGTCTGAAGACACGATAAATGCAGTGACAGCAATTAGAAAGGTCAAACGCGTGACCTAACATGTTAAATAGCTCTTAAATTCTAAATAACGAAAACAATAGACAATTATTCCGTCAGCGTAGTCGCGTCGAATAGAAAGTATCTGTATTCTTTCTGCGTCTACTTACATAAAAGCTAAAAACTAACTCAACTTTACGTGCATAAGAACCATAATTACCTATATTTTTTATGTCATAGGAGGCAAGCATACAGATCACCTGATGCCTATATGTATATATCATTATGTATATCGTAACTGTACCACATCAGAAAAATAAACAGTATCTACGAAAGCAATACGTCATCGACGGAATGATTAGAGCATCACGAGTCGTTTTGTTTTGTTTGTTTATCATTTTAAAGCAAATACATAACTATAATATAGTATGTAGAGATCGAAGACAAAAATTAATCCTAATTTCCCGTGGTATTGCGCGTTAACAGCTTGACCGATTCCAGGAGTTACCATTAGGTATGTTGTGTATGCATGGATAAAAAGAAAGTCCTCATAAAAAAATGAAATTTAGACGGATAAATGTGGACATGTTCCGGCCTTCGGCCCAAGGTTCGGAGCCTTGGCGGTTCGCTAATCAAAGAAATGACTGATACCTTGATAGTTGGACATCCATGCAAGGTAGAGACAGACCCCTAGTAACTTACATTAATGCGAATAATGTGCAACTACAAGAAATGGCACGTTGTAAAAGATATTATTTAATTATTATTATTACAATATCTATAATACACAGACAATGAATAGCCTGTGACTATCTTGATCTATCATATGAATAAGTACATTGACTGTAAATTAATAAATATTTCTGCAAATATTTAAATAAAATGATATAATATTTATCATTTATTATACAATGATAAAAGTAAGTAAATGAGTTAAACAATTTTCTAAAAGTAGGTAGGCTGCGCGACGTCGCCGCGTCATGAGGAAGAACCCCTCTGTGGTTCGAAACTAGTAGAGCTTTTCTCTTCAATATTATACACGTGAGTAACCCGCGATTTTAAGTTAATTTAGTATGTTTCACGATAGTTATTATAAAAACAATTTTCTAATAGGTACTTATTACACTTAAGCAAGTCTTCTAGGATTGTTGTTTATGTATACAGTGGGACTTTTGTATGTTTGTAAACGGACTTACGACACAGGAGAAAATACTAGTTTGAGGCAAGCAACCTTTCAAGGTAACCTTTCGGATAAACAAACGAACAAACTTTCATTTTGTAAATATTGGTATCAGAGACGAAACGTAAAGAATTGAGCGCGAAATCGATACTACACGGAGTAGATTTAAATTTCGCGACGGTTGGAAGCCTAAAATGTCGGTACATTTAGTTAAATATTCTTAATGATTCTACTAACATTTCGAATGTTTGATATGGAACAAAAAATATCATTGCACACTAATCGCTATTAATAAATACACCCTTAAGTAGAATAACAAAACAGCGTTTTAAAAATACACAGTTAGGCATAAAAATAAAACCCTAGTCGTAACAAATCGGTCAAAGTTCACAGCCAAATTTCTTTAAGGTGAAAGTCTTAGAACAAAGATGTACAGCCGTTCCCCATAAATAAATAAAATACACAGAAAACTCACCGAAACTGCCCGGTATATAAACGTATCCATAATTCTTCAATATTTGCACGCAAGTGTTGGCTAAGAACGACCCCAGCAACAGTACGGCGAAGGTAAATGCCACTATACACGCACTTTCCTTCTGTAGCATTACATTAGTTTTGTTTTTAGCGTTTTTATGTGATGTCAGTTGCATGATACAGGCACCAAGAAGGCCCCAAGTTAGGAATGTTTCCTGCGCAGCGGCTGCCCAACTCTGAAAACAAATAAAATCTTAAAAACAGGCCTTATCAACATCATAATAACATTCAAAATAAGAAAAGCAAAAAAATATTCATACATTACTATTAATAAAGAACTCGCTCCATTCAGTCTCAGCGAATATATTGATAACAGTGTCGTATGGGATCAATGTGAGCAATTTCGTACACAGCACCAAAGTACCGCAGATCGGTAGGAATATCAGCATGTATACGGCCTGCAATTATATTCATAACGTGTTATGGTTACGTGGGAAATTACCTCTACACTACAATGTGCTGTAATGACTGTTACCTTGCCATAAGACCTCAATCCTTTACTAAGTGCGACGAAAACTATCATCCACACTACAGCTAAATTGAATGCTACTTGAAACTTTATTGTGCCAAAATATGAAGTATTGGACCCCAAATTCCTTTGTAAAACTTCCTCGTGAAAATACTGCGGCAGTGTCTCCTGTATTTTATAAGTACCATTCTTTGCGGCGTCTGAAACATAAAGAAATCTTTCTCAGTTCGACCCCATTTCCTTGTTCCACAACTAACGGATAACGTAATTGTTAAACTGTTGACCTTCATTCGCACTTCCCGCTTCATTTGTTGATTGATATCACCGAATTTATTTGTCATTGTCCAAACAATAAACATTTAATTATGCAATTATTGACTCACCTTCAAAGTTGAATTCCTGTGGTAATGCCCATTTGTACTTGTCGTTAGATGTTATGAAAGAGTCTCTGAAGTAAACAAATATCCAAGACAGGCCTATTATACTGTACATGCCAATCACAGCTTGAGTAATGAGTAGAGAAACACCTACGCCTTGGAATATTGGTGATATACGCCACATGTCCACCGGGCCAGACTCCAGCACTTGGCCCAAACATAAATGCAAAGTGAATAACGGTATACCAATTAAAAATGACAGTATAAAAAACTGTATTATGAAGCTTGCTGCAACAAGAAAAAAGTTCCATTGTACACAAACTAGGAAATTAGGTGAATCCAATTAATTACATAAAAGTAAATTCATTACCTCCAAAATGAACACTGAATATGGCAAATCTAGATATATTAAATATTCCCACGGTACAACTGAGGCACGCCAACATGGCACTCATACGATGTGGCCAAACTCCAAAAGGAGGTTCTTCAGTCTCTTCAATTCTGCAAAAAAAAAAAACAAAACTTTCGTTTATCCGATTTTTAAAGAAAATATAACTGCAATGATGAATCATTAAATCACATCATATCCTATGACCTCATTTTTGAGAACGAAATGAGTAATATTATTACCAAATCGCGAAGGTTGCTGTACGTATTAATGAAACTTTAGATGAAAATTATAACTTAAAACCGCTGCTTAAGTTTATAATTACCTCTCCTCAGTGGCACTTGTAACATTTTGCGTTATGGGAGCAACATTCAGTGATTCAGTGGACGAGCTGGATGCACTCGTGCTCCTTGCCGTACTCCTTGCTGTATTCCGTCCAGTCCAGTCTCCAGTAGTAACGTCACTCTCCCCAGGCGAAGGAAGTGAAAGGGTACGATTCATTAACAAGGCACGACGCCCCACAATCAAAGGACCTGAAGCACCGTCACTACTGAGATTTGCCGCCGTCACTTGCAACTGTATAGGAGCGCTCGTCGGACGCATGTTAATATTGTGCTCCAGGAAAAGTATCACTGGCAATGTTAGAGGCTCGCACGACGCCTCAGCTGTTATCGCCGGCAGAACAATAGGGTCTAATCTCCTCATTGAATTACGTAAGGTGTCGGCTGTCGTGCTTGCTCTCTCTAATGATGAAACTAAAGCCTGCCGATCGTTGTCAGTCAGTTCTGAAAAACTTTTCGAACGACCAAGACTTGTGAGATTCGATCTTTCCGATATACTGCTTGTGATGTCCATTTCTTCTATTGGTGGTGCTGACGGTTGTACATTGGAGCATGTTATTACTTGAGTATTGTCGTCGAGAGAACTAGGGGCTTCTGAATGGTCAGATTCCCCATGACCTTCGCCAATGCATTCCTTAATCTTACAAATGAGATCTTCTTCATCACTATCGAAGTTTTTTGTGCCATCATCAAGGCACGCAAGTAAAGATTTATCTAAAACTTCGTCTAAATCATTCAAAATATCCATAAATTGGCACAGAGCCGTCGCCTGAAATTCTTCATCGTTTGTGATGCTTGTGGTATGTGATGAAAAGTTTGAATCAGATTTATAGCATTCTGGTATTGTCTTTTGCAGATCTTCTTTCAGGTCACCATCTTCTGATGTTTTGTCCAAGTCTTCACTACAGTGATCACTGTCGTTGCTCTCAAACGCGCTGCTGGAGGCGTCGCTGTCAAAGCTGCTTCCCGGTACATTTTCACTCTGTTCATACCGGCCTTCGCCTATGTTAACTACTTCCATTTTTATTGCATGGCCTAAGTCATAGCCCGCGCGTTTGGTTGACCCTGTAACAAGGACTTCACTAATTATCATTGCCAGAATGAACAATTTATTGTATTAATTCACAGTGAAAAGGCACATTTTGTTGTGATGATTTTCCACAGTTTGTACATGGTTAGCTGGCGAATGCAGAATGATGTTTGTATTTACATAAGAATTAACGTGCTAATAAGCTTAATAATTGGTTGTGGCAATACGTCAAATGTGGCTTAATGTTAACACAGTAATGCTAAGACTGCCTGGTAGGTACTGCTTACAACACTCAGTCCATAAAAATGAATCACTTGGGATTATATCGTGTTACACATAGATAACAATGCTGTTCAATTTGCCATTTGCCAAAATTTATTCTAGGATTAACACAAACAGTCCAAATACGAATTAGCCTACATAATTGAAATAAATTATTTTCTTTCTCATCTCGTAAGAGAAGAGCAAAAAGAACTTGTTTTTACTCATAAATCATGAAGATAAATAAATTGGTAAAGAATATACATTAACGGTATGTTTTTAAAATTTAAATGTTATCTGACAGAGGCTTTTGTATTTAAAACTACAGAGGTAATGCCTAAGTAGCCTAAGTTATTTTAAGGAAGTCATTCTCTAGAGACTTTTCCCGCCTAGTGGAGAGCTAAGAAGTGTCAAATTCGTAGTGACAAAAACCACCCCTTCCTTCTTCTGCTCGGAGCCAGACCGGTACATACTACATAATTGCTTCGGTCACCCCCGTTGGCAACGGGCGCTCTAAGTTTTACGCATCTGTGGTGGTCTCATGACACTTTGAGACGCACGCGGAACGCGACGCGCCGTACAGAAAAAGGAAAAAATCCGCTACCCAGCTTTTCTTCCATGCCTGAAGCAAGGCTAGGCGCGAGAGTTCGCTGCTGTCGATAGTTTACCTGGGGTAACGACAGTGCTCTGCCCAAACAAGTTATAACACCGTCGCATAGTCCACCACGTGCCGAAAAAATTACGTATTGATGTTACGCATACTACAAAAGACAACAAGAACGGCAAATAAAAAAGAAAGGCATACAATAGACAATGTCATCTATCCCTCGCCATTCAATATTTATGTATTGTGTCTATTTAAGCAATCAATTTAATTGATCATTATTTATAATCACTCACACAATCAATTATGAAATCACTGCAAAATACTAAGACAACCGTAGTACTTATACAAACATACAATTAAAGTAAATATGAAGTACACAAACTTATCTAAATCTAAACAAAAAGATAAAACAAAAATGAAAAATAAATTAATGCTATGTAAATTAAATTTCTTTCACAATGCAGTGATAAATATTACAATAGATAAATTTATAAAGTAATAAGGAATATTGCGCAAGAAAATTAAAGATAAGCATAGATAGTCTCTGATCTCATGCAACACTTCAGGTTAATGATAAGTTTTCTACACATGTAGGTGTATTACACACCTGTTCTTTGCCATTTCTAAGATCTAATATCATATAACAGGATATAGAATGTAAAAAAGCAATTGATATGGTATCGGTGTGGTATGATATTATTTTGAAGTGGACGGAAAACAGCACACCTTTCCTTGGGTGCAAATGGTGCATTGAAACACCTGGACAATAGTGACCATACTATAGGTATTTTAATACCAGAGTTAATTGTACTAACAAATGTACATATAGTTTCATCACATAGGGTTTACATGCAAGATCAAAACCTTCATACATTACCAAACATATATTATGCCACCACCACAATACCAGATTTGTTATAAAGCCTATGTAGCAGTAGGCAGTGAAAATATTGTCATTTATCTAACTCAAAATTCAAAAAGAAAAATAGATTTTTTTTTTTCGTAATGGGCAGGTATTTGGTCACAATCACATCTAGTGGTTAGTGATGAGCCAGATTTGAGCCCTGACGAAAAATGTACATAAAGCCAGGATTTCTATTTCATGTACATAGGCATGCATAGAGGTTTAAACGTTTACAAAAATTAACTGAAAATATAATGTATGATAAGGTAGGTACATCCTTACAAAAATGTCTTAATAAAATTAAACATTATATTTTTCATAACAGTAAGTTAAAAATAAAAAGACTTTTTAAAGTCAAGCATTTTTCAGTTGGTCAATTAGTCCTACAACATTTTAAAGATAATTTATAGAATGAAAGTAAAATTATACAGATTAGTGTTTCTAATCATGCAGACTAAATATGTATGTACAAATTTACTTGCATGTTATTCATTATCAAATGTTTTTACATATTTCATTGTAAATAGTTAAAAGCTTGAAATAAATAGTAGACGGGTTTTCAAGCATGAAGTAACAATTATTCAATTTTATCTAAACAAATATCTAACAAAAATCCTTAACATTTAATTAACATTTATTGTGTTACTTACTGGCATTGTTTAGATTGTACTTTGTTTAATAAGCAACCTAGTTATTCTGTCGGTACCTACTTTTATAATTTTTAAGATATCTTTGAGGGTAATTTAGTAAAACCATAGGATTAGTTCCTCGAATTTTGCCATTCAAAATAGTCTATTATAAAAAAACTACCAATTAAAGAGGATTTATTGATACACATTGGGTTACAGAGACATTTTGGACATTATTAAAAAAAAGCATTTATCATTTTATAGTCGACTGAGATCAGAACTCAGCATAATGGAAACATTTTCAAATAACAGAATTACAATAAAAAATTTAAAACACTAACCTGATTTCCTGACTGTTGTAAAGGTAAATCTAGCCTCTTAATTTGTCAGCTGTCGATAACATTATTAACAGTGGATGGATGACAGATCACCTATTTCACTAACTTCGAAGTTTACCGCTAATTGTTTATTTATATTAAATAAATGTATTCCAGTGATGTTTTCGTGGGTTAATGAGTAAATTACGTACAATAAACTATTACATGAAACTTGTACCAGCAGGTACGCACTAGAGGTGTACTTGAATGAAAGTGCATGCAAAGTTGAGTACTACTCTATCTGTCAACCGAGTAGTCGATTTTAAAATGTCAGGTAAAAAATTATTAAAAATGTTAGTCGAATAAACCATTGCGTCAATACTTTACGTCTTTTTGCCCTAAAAACACATCAATATGCAAAAATACCCACATTTAGGCCCTTCATTTACCCTTCATTTAGGTACCCTAAAAAGATACTGACTAAAATATCAACCAATAACGCGGCTTTTGCAGAAAAGTGGTAGAGTCACAGAATCTATTTTTACAAAAATGAATCACAAAATATGTTGATAAGCGCATAACTCAATAGCGGCTGGACCAATTCTACTGATTCTTTTTTTGTTATGTGTGTGTTATTGTCAGGAGAAGGTTTGTCAGGAGTCAGGAGAAAGACAATTTTAGACAAGTAGAGGGAAGAGTTGGGTTATAGGGACCCTTTAATTGTAAGCGAGATGATGAGACCCGTGCGAAGCAGGGGAGAGCTGCTAGTACCTACCGGTACCTAATAAAATCGAATAGGTAGGTACCTAGCAGAACGTTAGCGGAACAATATCATGGTCTTGAAATGTCAACATCATTGAGAACCGTCACACAGTTATTAACGAATAACGACTTTATTGCCCAGAACACTAGGTTTAATGGAGAATGGCAGTTTCTCAAGATTTGACAACATGTCCGTGCGTTTGACAAGTTGTATTTCGTTCATAACTGCGCATGATCGTTTTAATGTTCACTTGATCAATAAAATGACCGTCTTTATAAAATAATTGAAACAATATAAATACAACTAATGTAGGTGTTCTCTTTTCTAAGCCACGAATTATGGCTTTATTAGAATTTGACAATACTTAATAAAACATAATTTGTTCGTCCACAAAGAAAATAACTAACTTTAGCTGACATGAACAATCAATGGGTCAAAGTATCTTTTCGTAAAATCTTAATTATCAACTAAGTCGCGAAAATCAGCCTTATTTTCTGAACATTAAGATTTTAATTCGAAACTTTGAAGTACGTGGGGTAACTGAAATAGATAAGTTTATGTAAATGTTTTTTTTTATAAATTGCGGGTGATAAGCATTATCATATTCTATCAGTTCGTCAGTGCCTTTTCTTTGAGAATATTAACAATAGTTGTTAAAAGAATAAATCATGTTTCTTCTTAAAGGAAGTAGAATAATTACCATCAAAATGCGCCCAACAAATAAGGTTCGTCTTTCTTTAACCAGTTAAGTTTATTTTTCGCCAGTCGTAGATGGTTGGTCTGCCTAGTCAGTCTCTGGGCTCCGAGAATAATAATAATATTTTACTTGATAAATTTTCATAGTCATTACGAGTGAACAAGTTAGTTTTGTTAATTTTATAACTGTTTGATCAAACAGCTTTTTAAAGCGATGGCAGCGTATTCATCTAAAGTTTCCCTGAACGATGTGGTCATCGCGTCGGCGGTGAGGACACCCATGGGCTCCTTCAGGGGTAGTTTGGCGAGTCTCTCAGCTTCGGAACTTGGCGCGGTTGCGGTCAAAGCAGCAGTGGAAAGAGCTGGTGTTCCTAAGGAGGAAATTAAAGAGGTTAATTGATTCAACCTACTTTCTCTTATGTTTTCCATTGATTTACAGTTATTATTTGACCATGAACAGTTAAATATTCTAAGAATTCTAAGTTAAATCAGTACTGTTTTAATTTAAAAATCTGTAGTCATTTGTCATGTTTCTGACAAGATTACAGTTGATTACAGTATCTGTAATCATAAATGTGTTTGTTATCAAAAAAACTGATTTTAATTACTGACTGAAATACTTATTATTTAATTTAATTTTTATTTGATCAACTGAAGTAGTTAATTGGTTCTATTTTATTAGAGATTAGAGAAAGATGATAAAAGAAGTTTATGTCAACTTAAGTTTTTTAACATAATGTTCTTATCTTACTAGTTTTAAAAGAAAAGAAATACCTACAAGCTATTATACTTTACCAATATAACTACTACTGCATAAATAGGCCAGTATTTTGTAGAGGATCTCTAAATAAATATCCTGAAAATGGATATAGTATGCTCGTTTAGATGTAGTATATTCATTCAACTCACTTTTTTTATTGCAGGTTTATATGGGTAATGTCTGCTCGGCCAGTATGGGTCAGGCTCCTGCAAGACAAGCGGTAATTTTTGCTGGTCTTCCTAAAAGTACTATTTGTACAACAGTGAACAAAGTATGTGCATCTGGCATGAAATCCATTATGTTAGCCACCCAGGGTTTACAAATTGGTTCTCAAGATGTTATATTAGCTGGAGGAATGGAATCTATGTCAAATGTACCATTCTATATGAAAAGAGGTGATACTCCATATGGAGGTATACAATTAATCGATGGTATTGTTTTTGATGGTTTGACCGATGTTTATAACAAATTCCATATGGGTAACTGCGCTGA